TGACCCGACTGACTTTCGGCAGTTTCCTCTTGGGGAAGTATAGGAGGATTACGCCCGGCGTCAGTGCGTCGTGTATTTTGTTCTGGAGGCGGTTGTGACATTCGATCACGAGGTTGAGATGTAGCATGAGATGTTGTCCTTCCGCCGTCTTGTCGTGCCGGTGGATTTTGTCGGTTCGCGGGGGTCGTGGGAATGATGGAGTGTCCCGGAGCCGTTGTTGATGTTCCCGGCATCGTTTGGGCCATTAAAGCGGCAAAACCACGTGCAAATTCCGGATTTTGAAACAGAACGGCATAATCCGGTGTAGGTGGAGCCACGGCTTGTCGTCTAGCGGACTGCCCGACGCTACGACTGTGGCCGTCTCGTGATGTGTGACCACGATGATCTGAGTGAGACATGGTGGATATGGCTGATATGCACCGTTACGTGAAAACGCGGAGATTAACCTCAAATCACTTATGAGGCCCTCCTTCTAGCGCCAAAATATTGTTATGTGATTTTTAACAACGATGTAATTGGTGATTAAGTGGATAATTTTGAATGATTTGGACGTAAAGCATGTAAGATTTACTCAACAATGGCCCCGGTCCGAGGTGAACCGAGGTGAAGAGCCGTGATGGGCTTTTACGTGTTGCTTAATCAAGTTTTTTCAGTTCGGAGAGAGTCCCCGTACAAATGTCATGGGCCCGCTATTTATAGTAATTTCGGGTTGATACATTGGGATCTGTGCATTACTTTTTCGAATAAAGCGACTTTTTGTGGGCGGTTTGAGGCAGGGGGTCCCACATAAATGATGACAGATCTTGTGGAGCAGGAGAGTCACTCGTAGGCGCCTTGTCACCTGCTTAAGGAGGTGACGACCTCGGTTCCATGTTGACCTCGGTAGACGTTGACCACTTCGGTCTTCGGTAGTTCGGTCCGGTTTGTTACCTGAACCGGGGTAGTATTTGAAATTACGTCGGTTCAATGACTATCTGCCTTTTAATGTGTCATTTGGAATTTCTTGATGCAGGTTTACCGATCCGGATGATAACACTTCTTCTTCTTCTTCTTCTTCTTCTTCTTCTTCTTCTTCTTCTTCATCATCATCG